CGGCGGGCGAGGGGAGTGGAGGGAGAGGTTCGGCCTGATGGTGGTAAGGGATGAATAGGAGGTTGATCCGAGGAGGACAGGTGAATCCCACATTCTCGTAGCATGGCGATGGTGCTAATAGGGTCCGAGTCGGAGAGTCTACAATGGGCACCACACAAATTTTCGGAAAAAGAAGTCAACAAAAAAGCGGCAATTCTGGTGTGCGCGACAGTGTTGGCCTTAGACACTGCTCTTACTCGATGGGGATGGGGGAAGATGAAAAGGGAAGCCCAGCTACTGAAAAACATGCTCGGACCGGAGCTCGGTGTCTGTGTTAGACGGACCGCAACTGGGGACCAACATGCAATACTCGTCTGTGACTACGGCTGTTAGGGCAGGGGTATGCAATTTACTCGTTGTGAGGTAGCTATGCTTGCAGGGATCCCCTTGATAACATAGGAGTAGGGGTAAGCAGGTAGTGAGAGATTTTGAGAGCATATAGTGAAGTAAGAAAAGAACCGTTTTTTTCCATCTACTACGGCAAACATACCTTCACGACGAATGATGGCAGATTCATCCGCATTTTCAAACTTACAAAACTTGCTACCCACCGGGCTCTGGCCTTATGCACTCAGGCACTCAAGCCTCAGTGCCGAGGACACAAGATAACGTCGGTACCGCTACCGGTACGAGTACCTGTAACTTTTGGTAGTTCATTTCCTCGCTTTGGGGGCGTCACACTTCTGGCCACCAAAAAAACGTTTTTGGGGCGGCAAACTTCTGGCCACCAGAAAAACGCACGTGCACCGGGTATGGCGAAATGTGTCTTTCCACACGCAAAACGAAGTACAGTGACTGTCACAAAAACAGTTTGAAATTACACGTTCGGCATTCCCCCGAGCACAACAACCCCCCCACTTAACCCTCCCTGACCCGAAAACTAGTCTGTATACATTGCCAAAAGTTCAGTATGAAAGTGTTTTTGCCCGACGTGTATTTTCAAACTCTTTCTGTGACTCCCCCTAGCTTTCCGAAAGAAGGATTCACGCGCATTTTTCCACGGGCGCGCACAAAACAAACAACAATCTCTCTCTCTCTCTCTCTCTCTCTCTCTCTCTCTCTCTCTCTCTCTCTCTCTCTCTCTCTCTCTCTCTCTCTCTCACACACACACACACACACACACACACACACACACACACACAAACACAAAAACGCACAGACGCATTCTTCAACCAACATAGCGTACAGATCCCTTCGAAAAGGACTGTCCTCTTTCCGACGGAGCGTGGACGTGATTGAGATCAGGTACATGGGCCGAGTGCTCAGTGTGAATGATAGAGCAAGCCAGCGATGATAAAATTAGAGAAACAATAGAAAATAGAGAAGAAATAAAGACAATCATGATCAGGTACATGGGGCGAGTGATCAGTGCGAATGATCGGGCAAGCCAGCGATGACAAGAACTGTACCTCACCCTCACCCCCACCACCAACATCTCTTACAGAAAGACATGATAAAATCAAAGAAACAACAGAAAATAGAGAAGAAATAAAGACAATGATGAAATTAAAGAAACAACAATAGAAAATAGAGAAGAAATAAAGACACCTACTCAACAGCCACATGCCGCACAGATTGCTTTGCAATTTCAACTTTGAGGGAAAACAAAAACAATAACGAGAATGAAAAAGCATAAAGAATACAGGATCCAATATCAAAGAGAACAATAAGTCGAATGATATGGAAGCTAAAGAATTGAATTTCAACTTTCACAAAGCGCCAAGGAATTCGATTTCCTCATTTTTATTTACTTCCACATGATACTGTGGAATTGCGATCAAGAATAACAACCGCCTTCAGCACTCGGGGATCAGCCCGAACAGCCGTGTATCCTCTCTCCCCTCACGTTGTATGTCGGCCTAAGACCACGACGACAGCCTGATGCTACATAGTGTGGCTTAGATTGGCTTTAGACAGAGCTCCGACTCCAACACTTGGTCCTAATACGGCACATTCAGCCGAATGAAACGAAAAATCTGACAACTTGCCTCAACCAGCAAGACGCTTCGAGGCAACACTCTTCATCATAGAGATGCGACCGCACAGAGAGAGAGAGAGAGAGAGAGAGAGAGAGAGAGAGAGAGAGAGAGAGAGAGATTCTTAATCATAGGGATCAGACAGGAGAGAGAGAGAGCACGAAGGGGGGCACACACACAGAGAGAGAGAGAGAGAGAGAGAGAGAGAGAGAGAGAGAGAGAGAGAGATTGCCCTGATGCGGTCGTACAAATGGTCCCATCAGAAAGACGCTAATCTAATCATAAATGCCACACCCATGGGATGGAGAGACGCCATGTCCGACTGGGCAAGCGTGAAATTTCGTCGCCGGGCGATTCGCCTTTCCGAATGCCGTCCGACCTCCATTTGCACTACATGTCATGGCCATCTTCTTCACCTAAACGCGTAATATGAGGCATGCATTCGATCTTGAATGAGATCAATCAATGATCTGATCCAGTACGGCGTCAACAGACAGCAAGTCCTTGCACTAACACTGTCAGTCTCTCCATCCCGCTCAGTCAGAACGCAGGCGAAGCGCCTACAGGCCATACGACGCACCCACCGAGAGCGCCTGCATGAACAGTCACAGAGAGCTCCTCCTCCTACTCCTCCTGCTCCTCCTCTGCCGTCCATCGAACGCAGCGTTATTCCATAGTTGTCCATCGCCATGAACATTCAAGAGCATTATCACAATGCTAGGCTCGGCGCCGGTAAAGACCCAGATCCTGAAGCGGCGAAAGCCTCAGAGGCTTCCTGCTCCAGTTGCCCGAGAAGACCTCTTCCCTCGTTCTGCAGGCAAGCGGAGGCTTCATCTGCAGTGACACCGGTGTAGGCCTCGATGGCAGCTACTAACTTGTCCACGCAATTCGGGTTGTAGTCCACCGCCTCCATTCCCACAGTCTGCATAGACTGGCAGCACAAATCGCTGTTCCCGATGCTACACAGTGAATTGATTGGATCGAGGCTCAGCTTTGTGATACGCACAGGGCACGCATCAGCCGCATCTACGTCATATGCAGGCGCCGCAAGGCAAAGCAAGTGACAGGACAAAATCACAATCATGGCAATTGAAGCCATAGCCGCCAAGCTAGATCGCGCCATGGTGATGGTGGAGAATGCAGCTTCTACCTCTCTTCCTGTACGGAGAACGACGGTGAAGCTGGATGAGCTGTCGCGCTTGCTGCGACGATAACGCTATTGGGTACTCACGTACCGCAGAAGCCGCGCTATTTCTGTCTTGTGTATTTTCTTGCACCGTTCTACTATATATATATATATACGTGCATTTGGACTCCGCCGCCGCCTCCTGAGGTTGCGGACGGAGAACCGGGAGAAGTGCTTCCCGCCTTTTTTTGCGAACATCTTCCCGCCTCCTGAAGATACTGGGCCTCGACACACCACTGTCGACCGCCTTTTTTTGCGAGCATCTTCCCGCCTCCTGAAGATACTGGCCCTCGACACCACTGTCGAAACGGGAAAAGTTCGAGCGCATGTTTCCGCAGAAAGTGGCAAGATGCTTCCGTCCCTATGAATAGCAGCAGATGCATCTGGCCACTTTTAGGAGAAGATGCGTTCATGCTTTCTTTGTTTCGAGGGTGGTGTGGCGAGGCACAGTGGCCTTTGGCGCCAACTTCTGCAAGGTGACCTCAGCAGTTTCGAACTGACCCATCGCGAGGCCGGGGCTAGGTCCCACTTGCACGAATTAAGAGATACTAACCGTAGATAGCAAAGATCAACGGCCGAAATCTCCTAATTTGCGCAAGTGGGACCTTGCCCCCGGCCATAACTGCAAACACCCTTGCGCAGGGGCCATGCTAACCTTCTCCGTCTCGTTCCAATTTTAAGGATGGTCCAAAAAAAAAGGAGGGGAAAACTGCAAACACAGCAACGAGCGGGTGCGGGAAAACTGCAAACACCCTTGCGCAGGGGCCATGCTAACCTTCTCCGTC